CACAAGAGATCCACCTGCCTCTGCCTCCCGAGTGCTGGGATTAAAGGCGTACGCCACCACACTGGGCTGTATGTATATATTTTTAATTTTTTAAAATTTTATGTGTACAAGTATATTGCCTGCATGTATGTGAGTGCCCCCGTGTTGTGCAATGCCGCAGAGGTCAGAAGAGGGCTTCAGATGCCCCTAGAACTGGAGTTAAGGACGGTTTGTAGCCACCATGTGGGTGCTGGGACTCGAACCCAGGTCCTCTGCAAGAGCAGTGCTCTTAACCGCTGAGCCATCTCTCCAGTCCCTTTGCCCCAATTTTTGATTGGGTTGGTTGTTTCTTTTTAATGTTTAGTTATTTTAGTTCTTTATATATTCTAGATACTAACCCTCTGTTAGTATAGCTGGTAAAGATTTTTTCCTATTCTCTTGGTTGCCTCTTCTCTCAACTGATGGTGTCCTTTGCTGTACAAAAGCTCTTTAGTTTCATGAGATCCAATTTGTCAACTGTTGGAATTAATGACTATACATCCTGTTCAGAAAGTGCTTTCCTGTGTCTATAAGTTCCAGAATATTTTTTTTGTTGTTTTGGTCGTTTTGAGACAGGGTCTCCCTGCAGACCCAGCTGGCCTGGAACTTACTATGTAGACCAGGCTGGCCTCGAACTCACAGAGATCATCCTGCCTCTGCCTCCCAAGTGCTGGGATTAAAGGCGTGTGCTACCATGCCCAGCTTCCAGAAGCTTCTTAAAATATACATACATAAATTATAAAAAGAGATTTAAAAAAGTTACTTTATAACAGGGGGACACTGCCTCTACCAGCCAAGATAGGTTAGTAAAGTAAAAGCCCAATACCAGGGATATGGATACCCATTTCTGAAACTGTTGAGCAGGGGTCCCAAAGACCTTCAAATAATACTGGCCATTGCCCCTGCTCTTGGTTACCCACCAGAACTTGACAGTAAAACCCAACTGCTGAAGATACTACCTACATGCTCTGTAGAATAAACAAAGAGAAATCAAGCTAATACTGACTTCAAAGTTTCATCTCTATTGGCTAGCTTTCATAATACTGGATGGTGCTGTGCATGCTACCAGAAGAAAAACTAATCATCAACCTTGCCCAGCTGTGAATTCTGTGAACTACAACAGCAGGCCTGGCGTGATAGGCCCCTGGTGGGCTGGAGAGCTGGCTCTGTGGTAAGGAGCTGTGCTCCTCTTCCAGAGGACCCAAGTCCTATTTCCAGCACCCATGTAGGATGGCTTAGCTCACACCAGCTGCACACACATGCACAAACCCATACATGGACACACATATACACATAATTTAAAAATAACAAAAATTTAAAAAAGATACGCCCACTGGTACAATAGTGGCACACATATTAGGGGACTAGCCAACCACTTTCTGATTGGATTGAAGGTCCACTTCATAAGATAGAGCCCATACCTGACATTGATATCAGGCCTAGGAACCTATGGCTACACAATTAGAGGCCATAGAGGAGAGTCTAATACTATTATTCTGCTAAACAGATACAGGATTAAAGTGACTCCTAATGGCTTATTGTTATACCCATAAGTTAATGAATATCTAAACTCTCATCAGAGGAGTTTCCTTATACAGCAGATGGTGATTAACAGAGACCCACAACTGGCCAATATGCAGAGAATAATAGGCTGCAGAGTATTTATCCTTGAATAGGACGCCTATGTCAAACTTCTGCCCCCCAAGGCTCAGGAATCATTGTGGAAGAGGGGGTGGAAAGATTGTAAGACGCAGTGCTGGTGGATGACCACAAGGAAAGTTTTCCAGACAGCTGGTCAGTTACTCATATGAACTCACAACAATGGTGTCAGCACGCATAAGACCCTCATAAGCTCAAGTCAGACAAAATCCCAGCATAGGCATGGGGAAGTGGGGAGGAAATGCCAACCCTACCTGAGGAACTATTGGCAATGGATGGCTGCTGGGAGACTCTATAAGCCTTAATATATATAATAGAGTACATGAAATTAGTCAGGGGTTAGCTAGGGGGGTGCAGATAGGGAAGGGGATCTAAATATGATCAAAATATATTGTATGAAATTCACTAAAATTCAATTAAAAAACAGCATGTTGGGATCACAGAGTGCAGGAAAGGAAGGAAAGGATCCTGAGGAGTTTGGGGCTTCTTCGAGAGAAAATTTAAGCAAACATATGGGTTTCTGTTTGTTTGCTTTTTAGTGTTGTTTTGAGACAAGGGTATCACTATGAAGCCTTGGCTGGGCTGATATGTAGAGCAGGCTGGCCTCAAACTCACAGAGATCCACCTGCTCCCTTCCCAGAGTGCTGGACTTAAGCCTGGTTTTTAAAAAATATTTTATTTATTATTTTTATTTTTACACATATGAGTATACTGCCTGCATGTAAGTGCACCCATGTCATGCAATGCCTGCAGAGGTCAGAAGAGGGCATCAGATCCCCTGGAACTGGAGTTATGGATGATTGTTAACCACTATATGGGTGCTGGGAACCAAACCTGGGTTCTCTGCAAGAGGAGCCAATATTCTTAACCTCTGAGACATCTCTCCAGACTCAGCAGCCTGTTTTTCTTTTTTATCTTTTTGAGACAGGGTCTCCCTGTAGCCCCAGCTGTTCTGGCACGTGCTATGTAGACCAGGCTGGCCTTGAAATCACAGAGATCTGCCTGCTTCTGCCTCCCAAGTGCTGGGATTAAAGGCATGTGCCACCATGCCCGAACCTGTTTTGTTTTTTTGAGACACGGTCTCACTATGGAGCTCTGGCTGGGCTGGAACTCTATCAACACATATGTCTTTTTGAGAGCTTTCTATCTATTACATCATGGCTCTGTGACATTTCAGAATGGGTCAAAAGTGTGCTAAATATTGATGCTTCCATCTCTCCAAGTATCTTCTGTGGCCTTATCCATTTATTACAGTATATTTAATATAGAAATGTTATTGAATTCTTACATGTGTCATGATAGGAAAAATGTTGGCAAGTATTATTTTATAAAGACAGAAAGATGGAAAAAGATAGGAGAGAAAATACTAGTAAAGAAAAAGTGAAATTTCTATTGGGTGCATGCCTGTAATCCCAGCACTCAGGAGACTGGAGAGAAGGATCCTGAGTTTCAAGCCAGTCTGGGTCACAATGGTAAGTTCAAGTTGAGATACATAGTTGAGATCCTGTCTCAAAAACAAAACACAACACAACACAACACAAAACAAAATGAAACAAAACACCAAGGGTTGGGGATATAGCTCAGTAACAGAGTATTTATCTAGCATGAGCAAGGCCGTGTTTGATCCCTAGAAACATCAAACTAAAATCAATCAATTTCATTTACCTTTAAGATGGCCACAAATTTCTTCAGTTCTCCATTTTCCTTTCTCAGGATTGACAGTTCTCTAGCAAAAGATTGAAAAGAGTCAGCTCCAGGTCAGTAGGACAAAACTTACTACTGTTGTCCACATCTAGTCATGCTTCCTGAGAGATGCTTGCAGTTATACGAGATATTTCCTTCAGGGATCTGGTGGTTCAGGGAGAAAAATGGTGGCGTTTGATGGTGAAAACAAGTGAACAAAACAAGTAGTCACTTGGTACTACTTCATGGGATTTGTGTACAGAATTCCATTTCCTCTTCACATACACACTTGGACTGCTGATGTCTAAAAGTGTCCAGCAAACGGGCCCACAAAATGACACAACAGGTAAAGGTTCTTGCTACCAAACCTGACAACCTGAATTTGATATCAGAACCATACCAACTCCCACGAAGACGAAAGTTGTCCTTTGACCTCCACATACATGCCATGGCATGCATGTGCACACTCCACCCCCACCCTGCTCATAAAAAACTAAATGTTTAAAAAATGTTCTAAAGTTTCCAATAAGGATGCTGTCTTTTAGATTAAGATTTCCAAAATAGCCCGATATGGTGGCACACGCCTTTAATCCCAGAATTTGGGAGGCAGAGGCAGGTGGAGCTCTTGAGTTTGAGCCTGGTTGACACTGCGACTTCCAGGCCAGCCAGGGTTACATAATAAGACGCTTTCTCAAAAGGAAAAAAGTTTTACTTTAGAGATGATATAGATCTCTAAAGTAAAATTTTAAATGTTTTATCTCATTGTTTTCAATGTGAGTCGACTACATCGGACTTCTATGAAGAACATCTCTGATAAAATGAAGTAGAGGGGACAAACTATCAAGTGAGGAGGGTTCCTGGAGTGAAGAAAGAAAAAAATTGAGACTGAGAACCAACCAAAAATTCTGTACCTGACTTTCCCAAGATAAACATGAGCACCCACCAGAACAATTTTCAGTATTTGCAACTGGAAAGGTCTACAGCTTTACCAAAAGAAAGGAAAAATGCTAACTAGGGGTTTGACTTGGCACTTACTTGTCCTGGTTGGTCACTGCTTGCTGAGCCTCCTTCACCGCTGCTTCTAGCTTTGTAATTCTGTCCTTATAAAAGGAGATAAGAAGATCTGTTTGTTTCTTCTGGAAACGCCATACCTACTAGGGAAAAACAGGTCTTTGACATACACTCCTGTAACTCTTCCCCTTACTTTTGGCAACAAAAGGAACTCCATTAGGTCATATTTTAGTACTGCTCCTCTTCTTCTAGAGCATCTAGCCTAATTTGTGACTCCCCTAAACTAGAGAGTTCAGCACTAGGGAAAGCCAAAGGTTTCCGTTTCAGGACACTGGCTTTCTAATATTTTAGTAGAACTATTCTGACATTATAAAATAGCTTATAAATATATAAAATCATCTATCCTGAGCAAAAATTCTTTTTTAAAAAAAACTCTTAGTTTTAATTTACAAACTCAGCTTGGATTTAGCTTCCATGTTCTTTTTAAAAATTTTTATTCATTATTTTCCCGGGTATGGTAGCGCATGTCTTTAATCCCAGCACTTGGGAGGCAGAAGCAGGTGGATCTCTGTGAGTTCCAGGACAGCTGGGCTACAGGAAGACCCTGTCACAAAAAGAACCAAAAAAATTTTTTTTAATTTATTTTAATTTTATGTGTATGAATATGTTTTCTGCACGTGTATAAGTGCACCCATGTTGTACAAGGCCTGCAGAGGTCAGAGGAAGGCATCGGATTCCTCCAGAACTGGAGTTATGGATGGTTATCATGTGGGTGCTGGGAATGGAACCCATGTCCTCTGCAAGAATAGCCAGTGCTCCATGTTCACTGTTGCTCTCTCCACAATAGCTACAAAATGGAAACGATCTACATGTCCATCAACTGATGTACATTTGATAATGAAAATAAGGCACATTTACATGATGGATATCATTTAGCTATTAAGAAAAATGAAATTGTGAGGCTGGCAAGATTGCTCAGTGGTTAAGAGCATGTACTGCTCTTTCAGAGGACTTGAGTTTAGACTCAGAAAGACAAATGTCACATGTATTCCCTCATAAGTGGATGTTAGCTTTGAATCTTTAGATACGTTTCAATTGGAAACATATACAATATAAAAAGAGTTTAAGGGGCTGGAGAGATGGTTCAGTGGTTAAGAGCACTAGCTGCTTTTGCAGAGGACCCAGGTTGATTCCCAGCACCCACATGATTACAGCTAACAACTGTCTGTAACTCCAGTTCAAGGGATACAACACCCTCTTCTGACCTCTGGTGGGCATTGCATGACACAGGTGCACTTACATAATGCAGGCAAAAAATTCATACACATAAAATAAAAACAACAAATGAAATATTTTATAAAGAGTTTAAATGAAGTTACCCTAGAATGGGGGGTTGGCAATAACACTATCAGACACCACAGGCTAGCAAATAAAAGACCTTCTTTTGGAGCTGTTGACCAGAAGGGTCCCATAGACTCTCAAATAATACTGACTATTGTCATTGCTCTTGTTTACCTGCCAGAATTTGAAGCTTAGACCCTATTGCTGAAGACACTGCATACATGAGCTGTAGAACAAGGAGAAATAAAGCTGGTACTGACTTCAAAGTTGCATATCTACTGGCTAGCTTTCATAGTGCTAGAAAGTGCTATGCATGCTACCAGAAGAGAAAAGTAATCATCAACCTTACCCAACTGTGAACACTGCAAACTACAATAATGACTGGCCTGGCAAGATATGCCCACTGGTGTAATAGTGGCATGAATGTTATGGGAGTAACCACCCACTTTCTGCTTGGCTTTAAGGTTGGCTTCACAAGATGGATCCCATACCTGGCACTATTAACAGGGCCAAGAACCTGTGACTAGACAGACAGGTCACAGGCTGTGACAGAGAACCTACTAATTTTATTCTGCTAAATGGACTCCTAATGACATTACTTGTTATACCCATAGATTAGTGCTCTCTCAACTCTCACCAGAAACGTTTCTTGTAGCAGATGGTGATTAACACAGAAATCCACAACTGGTCAATGTGGAGAGAATAAGAGACTTCAGACTACTGAGCCCTAAAATGGGACACCTATACTACACTCTCTCTTCCCAAGGCTCAGGGATCATTGCGGAAGAGCTGGCAGAAAGATTCTAAGACTGAGAGGTGGGTAGATGAATTTAAGGAAACTTTTCTGGATACAACAGGGCAGTTGCACATATGAAACCATAGCACTTGTGACAACATGCACAAGACCTGTGCAAACCCAAGCCAGACAAAATCCCATCATGGATGGGGGAGGGAGGTAAGCAAGAAGTCCCAGTCCTAGCTGAGGAACTATTGGCAACTGATGGCTGCTGGGAGAGGGTGAGTCAGTTTTCTTTTAGGATGTGATGCTGGGTAGGTTGACCAGGCTCCAGAGGATGAAGTCACTCACACATAATAGCATTTGGGGAACTCAAATTAGACTTGGTAGGCCTTAAAAAAAATTTAAAAAATAATGGAGGTCATGAGGTGGGAGGGTTAGTAGGATGGGGGTAGAAATGGGGCAAGTGGGTCTGCATACGACCAAACACATTGTATGAAATTCTCAACGAATCAATAAAGGTATCTTTAAAGCGTATTTAAAACAAAAAGAGAGGAGGAGGGGCATAAAAGGAGAATACCTACTCCTGATTTTCAATTTTTTTTCTGGTTTATTTCTGGGTATGGATACCTAAGTTTATCGTTTGTGTCATTTTACCATTTGCAATACTAATGCAACTGTCACAGGATTGTTGAATCAGATCAAAAGTTAATATTTACAAAGTGTTTTAGCTTTGTCAGGCTCTATTTTGAATACACAGCAGAATTTATGTTTAATCTGCTTTATTATTGTTCAGACCATAAACCTTTTATAGGGGCCTTCCCTAGATTTTAGTACTCTTCTCATTATCTTTTTTCTCATCTAATTTGCTGTTGTTTATAAAAGTGAAACATTCTATTTTAGAAAATCTGAACAGAGCAGAAGTAGAGAAAAGTCATTCAGAATCCTAGGAGTTATCTAAAATAGTAGGGGAAGGTGTCTAGAAGCAATAGATACTATAAATAGATGTAATAGATGGTCAAGACACAGTATTTCCAACATTCTAATTCTAACCATGGGTTCAGTCTGGGTGAAATAAGTTATTATGAGGCTAGCATCAAGAAAACCCAAATCTTAGCTGGATATGGTAGCTCATGCCTATAATCCTAGCCCCTGAAGCAGGACGATTATGAGTTTGAGGCCAGTCTGGGCTACATGGTGGACTATAAAACAAGACCCTGTCAAAAAGGATGGAAAGAAGTAAGAAGAGTAAGCAGGCAGGCCAGGCTGGTGAAATGGCTCAGTGGGTGCCTCCAAGCCTGATGATCTGAGTTCTATCCTCAGGACCTACATAGTGGAAGGAGAGAACTGACTCAAGTTGTCCTCTGATCTCTGTGTGTGTGATGTGGCACTCCAGCACACACACACGCAAAATTTTTAAAAAATAAAAATGTAAAAAAATTAAAATAGGGGTCTAGAAAGATGGCTCAGCAGTTAAGAGCACTGGGGCTGTTCCTGTAGAAGACCTGAGTTTGAATCCCAGCACCCACATGGTGGCTAACAACCATCCATAACTCCAATTCAAGGAGATCTAACGTCCTCTTCTGTCCTCTGCAGGCACTGCACATGGATGCACTTACACACATGCAGCCATAACACTCATACACATAAAATAAAATAAATTAATCAGTTAATTAAAATAAAAAAGGAAGACTGGGGCTGGAGGGATGGCTCAGATGTTAAAAGTACTGGCTGCTCTTGAAGAGGACCTGAGTTTGATTCCCAGCACCCACACGGCAGCTAACAACCATCTGTAACTCCAGTTCCAGGGGATCCAATGTCCTCTTCTGTCCTCTACAGGCATTGCATAACACAGGAGTACTTACATACATGCAGACACAACACTCATACATATAAAATAAAAATAAATAAATAATTTTTTTTTTAAAAAGAAGACTGGCCAAAACCAAATCCTACCTTAGTTCAGCTACATCTCCCTTTGAGACTACTAAAGGTCATAGGAACACAAAGAACAGACCCCACTACAAAACTCCAGATCCAGACTAGACTATGGGAGGGTCTTTTGACTAGACCTAAGTAAGCCTATTTGCCTTCTTACCCTCCAAAAGTGAAATTTCAATCTTAGATGTGTTTGTTATTAATTTCCTCTGAGATAAAACATTCCACCTTGGAGTGAACCTCATTAAATCACAGGCATAAGCATAGCCAAGGTAGCTGGTACAGGTGTAGTCAATGGACTTTCAGGGTGCTTCACCAAGGTTATCTCCATAGCCCCACTGTTTGATATGGGATGGTGGTGCAGGACTTTTGTTGTTGTCCTGCCCACCCTCTGTGAAAAAGGTTTGGTTATACAGATAGCATAATGCTAACCCTTAAGTGTTTGGCAGATTTGAAGACCCATTTGAGAAACATGTGAGTTCACTTAAGGGAGTAAATAAAAATCAGCTCACAAAGTGTGTAAGGGTGAGGTGCAGCTGTGAAATTCTTGGGAGATTTAAGGTTGGGTAAGGCACAACAGATACCTACAAGGTGATTGGAAAATTTCTACAATATCCTGGCCCATAAATGCTACAGAGTAAAGAAGGTCATCTTTTCAGAGTAGAAATAGATCTTTTCAGAAGTCATAAGGTGTTAAAAAGTCCCAGTGCTAGGGGTGGGTTACTTCCCTGTGAGCTATTGGCCAGGGACACCCTAGAGGTCCTAAAGCAATCAAAAGCTGTTGCTATTGCTATTGGTTGCATTCCAGAACTGGAAGGTAAGACCCTATTGCTAAAGATGTTGCATGCTTTAGGAGAGAACCTAAGTCATCAGGGTTGCAGGACTTGGAAAAATTATGCTAGGACTGAGCTGAAAGTGTTGTCTTCTTGTGGGCTAGCTCTTACAGTGTCAAAAGGTGCTACTAAGGTTGCTGGAAAGAATTACGGCCCAAAGTCCTTCTCAGCTGTGGATCCTGCATGCTTTATGATGGAAGTACCAGGGAAGATGTCCTAGCTTAGAGCAATAATGGCTGGCGCAAGTAGTTATGGATACAACCAACTTTTTGATTGAACTTAAGGTCTGTTT